ATGACCATGAGCCAGCAATGTGCCCTTGTAGCCACGAAGGCCAATGGCATCCTGGGGTACATTAGAAAGGGTGTGGTAGTCTTGACCTTCTGGACTACGCCCCTTCTATTATGCCTTGTTGATGTCACATCTGGAGTATTGTATCCAGTTCTGGGCCCCTCAGTTCAAGAAGGACAGGGAACTGCTTGAGAGAGTCCAGCACAGAGCCACAAAGATGATGAAGGGAGTGGAACATCTCCCTTATGAGGAAAGGCTGAGGGAGCTGGGTCTCTTTAGCTTGGAGAAAAGGAGACTGAGGGGTGACCTCATCAATGTTTACAAATATGTAAGGGGTGATTGTCTGGATGATGGAGCCAGGCTTTTTTCAGTGATGACCAGTGATAGGACAAGGGGCAGTGGGGGCAAACAGGAGCATAGGAGGTTCCATGTGAATATCAGGAAGAACTTCTTTCCTGTGAGAGTGACAGAGCACTGGGACAGGCTGCCCAGAGAGGTTGTGGAGTCTCCTCTGGAGACATTCAAAACCCGCCTGGACACGTTCCTGTGTTACGTGCTCTGGGTGACCCTGCTCTGGCAGGGGGATTGGGTTAGATGATCTTTTGATGTCCCTTCCAACCCCTAGGATTCTGTGATTCTGTGAAAGGAGTTTTACGGTTGTCTGAAAAAGGGGAAGTTGGTATTGTACTAAAAGGCATTCAGTAGTTGTTGTGTCTACCCAAGCCTATTCCCTTGTACGCAAGTTCAAACTTGTTTCATAAGTGAGTAATTGGTAAGTTGCATTCTTCCAGTTTCTGGGAGGAAAAGACAAAATCGGATGTTATGAAGATAGTGATTATGTGAGGGGGAGGAGTAACAACCTGTATTCAACAGTTACTTTGTATCATTTAACTTGTCAGAAGCAAATCCAAGATGGATTTTTCCAAACCAAAGAAGTAGTATGTTTAAAAAAGTGTTACCTGACCTTAACTGTTTGGTGAATTAGGCTGAGGTTAGCAACCCCTGCTATGTTACGTGGCAAGAAGTGGCAGTCTTCCTCTTTTCCTTTTTTCTTCACAAGGCGTCCGCTGAAATGCTCTTTATAACCCAATAAACTTCCTCATGAAAAAAAAAATGCTGCTGATTCACACGCTCCACAGATGACTGTTCTGGCACTTCTCACTGTGTCTGTTCAGCTGAGAGCAAAGTCACCTCGACCCCTAGGAGAGCTGGCAGAGCCTTGTCTTCCAGGCTTTCTCTGGACATCCAGCACACTTCAAAACATATCTCCACCTGTGGAAATCCCCTTGCCAAGCCAACCTCTGAGCACAGCAAACTCCAAGTTATGGAACAGCACACAACATAGCCACAAATGCTGCCATTACATCAACTTGATAGGAAGACTTGTGAAACACTTTCTTTAGTGTAGCTCAAATTCCTAACACGATTCAGGTGTTGCATCTAGCTTAGCTGTAAGTCCTAATGAGAGCTCACTCCAGTTCTTGTTTCTGAAAGCACATTCAGCAGAGGCATTTTGTGCTCAGTTGTCCATTGCATCTGATGCCAACCGATGGCTCCACTCCAGCACTTGTGAATGAGCTGTCTCTGCTTTTGGTCATGCTGATACTGCAGCAAGTGAAAAATGAAGATACGCTCCTTACTACAGTTATCACTGAGTTGCTTTTACCACAGTACTGTCGAAGATTCTTTCTGCCTTCTGCTGCTATTGTGATTTTTGAAACTGTCCCAGCTTTAGAACACCTGACAAAGATGAGCTAATCTGTGGCAGGAGATCATGCATTTGTCTGATAGGGTGATGCTACATACCAAGGTATTCAGATGCCTACTGTGTCACTATCACTGTGGTAAACTGGGTTGTGCAGGGCAACTGGGAGGACAGAAGTAAGAATTTTTGTTCTAAGTGGGAGAAAATGCAATGCTGTAGGCTATAGTAGAATAGATACCTTTATTCATTTCCCCTTTCAACTACCCGCAAAGCTAAAAGGCTACCTTGTTGCCAAAAAAAAAGTGAGCTGTGGAGTCATCCTTCCTTGCTGTCTTATCTTTGCATACTCTTCAGTGCACATCTGTAAAGTCTTGCTACTTTAATATTGCAGTTTTTCTATCTTCAGTACAACGATAGGAGACTATTATGGCACTTCAGATTTCATGTGAGAAACAAAATATCATAAGGAAAGATATGTCAGCCTTCTGGCTGATGGTACTGTTACAATGAAACAGTGGACCGAAGCATTATTCTTATTTAACATGGTGAGTAGGAGGGAAAATATGAAAATGCAGTGTTTGCATAAGTAGTGCAGAAGCACTTAATGTGTAACGGGCTGGAAGAAATATTTTTATGGGCAAGTCAGAGAGGAAATTTCCAGTGGTTGTAAAAAAAGCAGATAAATTGACCTTTCCAACTAATGCCCTTTTTTTTCATTAGCACACAAAAATCTAGTGTGTCCTTTCAGTAGTGGCTATTATAGTGGATATAATTAGGCTAAGAAGTTTTAAATAGCTTTTTTTAAAGAGTACTTGCTCATCATACTGAGTTTTCTGTCACTAGTTTTCCTATGTTTTATTTAATATGGATCTCCAAGGTGAGTGATGCTGTGATATAGTGTAAAAGGAAATGTCTGTTCTTCTGCTATAATTTCGGGTGGCTGTTTGATTTCATCAATTGATACTCATCCTCATCAAATTTTATGTACAGGAATTTGAAGACTGGATAAATAATTTAAGAGCACCAATGTGAGCTACTGATTTCTGCTTTTGAGTATTTTTCTGTGCTGCACCAGTATTTGTAGTAAATGTGTATATCAGGGGAAGAAATTAAAAAAAAACAACTGCGTTCAGTGTTCAGCTATTGTTGCTCAATGGCAGTAGTGAATCATCTAGTAGCAAAGTGGACATGATTAAGAAACATACCTAGTGTTTTTTTTGCAGCAAGAGAGAATAGCTTCCTAAATTAACTCTTTAGAGCACATCTGTAAAAAGCTATTTTCTACTGGAAAATCAGGAGGATTTTGCTACTACTTTGCCCAGGTGTAGTACTGAGCTGTGTGCTTGTTTGTGTGCATGTGCACATGAGCAAAAGGTGGGGCTGCTGGGGACAGGTGTGTTTTTGAATGCATGAGATTTTGGGGCACTTTAGCCTTTAGTCTTAGATGCCTGCTTCGGGAGTGCAGATGGATTATTGTCCCACAGCTGGGCTTGCTGGCTGCTCTGTTGCACTTCTGTGCCTCATACTGTAGCAACCTGTTGGCCCTCTTGTTGCTCCAATATGTCATCTCTGCAAATTTGTTACTTGATACTTTTTTGTTACTTTTAAAAAGTTGTGTCTTTTTCATCATCTTGCTGGCTTTCTCAGGGTTTCATCTGTTTTGTGAGCCTAGTTCAGTATCCTGATCAGTTTTTATAGCTGCTTTGCTAGTTCTGAAAAACAGATAAAACTGATGTAACCTTGTGAATACAGACTAGAAGAAGTCTCCTTGGGTGAGACATTTGACTTTAAAAGTATTTGAGGCTGTTAATACACTTGTTGCCAATAGTTAAAACCAAAGCCTGTGTGTTTTTGTTTTAACGTAAAAGTGCTTACTGAGACAGTGGCATAGGAGCTGTGCTTTGAGACTATAATTTGTTTATCCAGTGCCTGGTACAATAAAGTACAATTGGAATTAATGAGAGAGACTGTTGCTACTAGTGTATTAGCTTGAACTGTGGTGTATTTTCATTGTGCACAGTATATCTTTCTTTTAATTGAAGATGAGTAGTAAACATCTTCCCCATAACACAGGGTTTCTTTTATACACCAAAAAATGCAAAATTACCTGATCTCTAAGTGTGCTGCTATAATTTGTCTACATGATTGGTTAACTAGTTCTTGGTTTCCACTTAAACTGGCAGCACTTCTACTTTTCAGTAAACATTCTCAGAGGATGGGGGCTTTTGTAAGTAGGGGGTCCTTCTAGCCTAAGGGAGGGTATGCTAAGGAGGTAAGTTCACAGTAAGTTTTATTTGTCATTATTTTCTATTATCTGTTTTACTTCTTGCTCAAGGCTACAGTAGTTAGCATCTTTCATTCAACTCTTCTTCACATCAAGAAAAACTTAGTAAACACCATCTTCCATCTGGTCATGCTGACCTGTTTTTTTTCAACATCAATGCTGCGTCTTGTTATCTAAAGTTTCAGTCTTCTATTAATAAAATTAATATAATTAGATACCATTAAAGCTTAAGGGAATACCTTCTGACCTTCCTGTGGGTTCCCTCTCCCTAGACTGTGAAATGTGACAGTGGTATCACCCTCATTAAGATGTTCGTACAGCAGCGTATTATGATTAATCAATTTTTTTAAGAAAGTCTCTAACCAACTTTGTTTGATTAAAATATATTACAAAAATCCCATATTTTAAAGTAAGTTCTTTAATAAGTTGCTTAGAAATGGTACTTTTTTTAAACACTCAGAATATATGATAACTGTCTCAGTTCTGGAGACTGAAGATAACATAGGTAAAGGCAGAGTGGATTGGAGTTATGTTGCTGAACAGAAAGTTGGAGTACAGATGCATAGTTTGCAATACCAAAGACCTCTTAAGAGTTTAACATGGGCCAATATTTCCCTGTTTTATGACAGAAACTGTCAGCTCAGAAAGAGAGAGAGAATACACTTGATCTTACATTTAAATGACTTCTGTATAAGTCTGGCAGCTCTAGCAGTGCATCTCTATTTTTATGGTTGATTTTTTTAAACAAGTAGTGTTTAAAAGTAGTAGACTTACCTGATAATCGCAAGTTACACAGAAGGAGCACAAGGGAATGTAGTTTGCTAAGGGTGGCTTTTCTAATTTCCTTTGTGTCCTTTGATCTATGCTGCAGCTGATGAATTTGGTATTGTTCTTACTTCCATTGGTCTCTTTCCAAGTTTTTCTTTGCCTATGAGTAAGTTTTAGTATGCTTTGCCAGTGCACCCTTTCAGAAGTTTCAGAAGTTAAAGACCTAATCAACTTCTTTTACAGGGAATGCAGAGGGCAACCAATGTTACCTACCAAGCTCATCATGTCAGCCGGAATAAGAGAGGCCAAGTGGTAGGAACAAGAAGTGGTTTTCGTGGATGCACCGTCTGGTTAACAGGTAGCCATGGATTTCTGAGGATCCTTTTAGTTACTCTTTGAAAAAGCTACTTAGCTGTAGCTAATTTTTTTCATACAAAGTTGAATGCTTGATACAGTTTTATTACTCTTTTTAGGTAGAATAGCAAGAAATTGCCCTGACACAGATAGTAACTTGAGAATGTTTTGTTCAGTGTTCTAGGAGCAATGTTTATTTGGCGCTGCCTGCTGCTTAATTCTGTTCGAGTTTCTGAGTGTATGGAGTTTTTTTGTGTGTGTATTGTAACCAATTCTGTCTCTTTTTACTGCCCATTTTACCTATTAAAAACTTAAACCTAACTTTTTTCTTTTAGAGTCTGTATTTTTTAATCTTCTCTGTAAAGGTCTCTTCTCTTTGGAAAGTTCTTGTCCCCTTGGGTTGAAAGAACATTCCAACATAAATGTATATGTAGGGACAGAAACTGCATTTTGAGGCAATGCACACCTGGGAGCTATTTTTGAAATCAGAACCATACATTTTTTTTCACGGAATTGTTTTGATTGTAAAAAGTGGGATAAGTAACTCCTGAAAGACGGCTTTGTTTCATACCTGTGTGGGCACTTTTTTGTTCTGTCTTTCAAAGTTCCTGGAAGCTTTAATATATTTTCTTTGGAGCTTTTTTCAGTTAAAACTGAAACTAATAAGTAAATGTAACAAAGTGTGTTATTTTATTAGTTTGTAAAGCATTTAGAGCAATATTGTATTGCAATGCAAAAGATATTTACAGAGTATTAGAGAAACTTGCTACAGTAAATAAAATTTGTTTCCGTCGCTGTTAATGAATGTGTGTGAAAGTTAAAGCAGTAGTTGATAACAAATTGCTGAGAGCCATTCCAACCAGATTTGATCCAGTAGCTTGCTGTCATGTATTTCTTTGGTAAAATGGAGCCCTTTCACTCCCTGTTTCAGTGATGTAGCTCCAGCTTCTCTTTCAATACTCAGATGATCTGGTAGGCTTCCTTTCTGTTTTTCCTGGTAATTTATTAATATCTTTTGAAAAAGTTCACAATCAAAGTGTTTTCTCTGTTATCTACATGACAATGTTTTCCATTCATCATTCTTTTTAAACAAATGTAACGTTAATGCCCAATTTTCCTTTTTCAGGAGGAAGAAGGGTGATGGTAGAATACAGAAAAACAGGAAGGCTGTTAAAGAATTAAGAAGAATGTGCTGGGAAACATAGGTTATTTACGATGTTTGAGCTCTAATGTTAAGGAGTTAAATGAACTGTAGGCATGGAAATAAGTAATACTACCCATTCTAAAACTATGCAAACATGAGTCTTCAAAACTCTGCTAAGTTTTAGAATAAAATCTGAAATGGTGATATTATTCCCTTAAAGGTTTTCTCACCTCATCAGCAGTCATGGGGTGGGAATGTATGGAAAGTTATTTCAGAGATCGCATTTAATTTTTAAGCTAAGATTTATTTGATAGGTAAATTCTAATGAATGTCTTGTGCTGTTGAGTCAGAGGGTCCTAGTAAAAAAACCCTTAGGATTGTATAAAAAATATGTAAAAGTATTACTTTCATGTGTAAAATAATATGTAATTTTGAGAGTGTAAGTAATTCTTCACACTTGTCAGCTCAAAAGCTATTTTTAAAATAAGTTATTCTATAATCTTAACTTCTGCATTTCATTACACATTAGATACCAAGTTATGTGTGAAAAGCAGAGGCTTTTGAGTGAGTAGGAAGCTAGATGTGGGGACAGAAATTGCAAGTCAAAGACCGCATGAATGAGAAGTAAATGATGAAGTTGCTGAAATCTTAATTTGGATTATCATGCTTATTTTCTAGCATGCGGGTGTACTTAATTGCTGCCAAAAGATGACTGTTCTGTTTCCAGCCTTGTTTTCCTTTTCTTGCCATGCATAATTTGGAGTGCTTGCCCAGCCCAACCTTGAGCTAATTCAGCTTGCCAAATCATCAGTGAACTAACACAGTGTCCCCCCACATACAGATAAGGGCAAAGAAACTAAAAAAAAAGATTAGCAAATTGAGTTGGCTAATGGGCACCAGAGGTGGTGGAATAATAGAGGAAGGAAGAAATCACAGATAATTTTTATGTATTATGATAGATCATTATTCATAGTTGTGCTGTTTTTTGAGAATTCTGAAAATGAGCCAAACCGTACTGAAATCTGTGAGATCAATGCAGGGGCTTTTCTTGAGAGAGAGGTTAGTTTGAGTTCTTACATAGGACTTCTCCTGGGATACACATTCTTTGTTTTCAGTAAGCTGCTTTGCATCTTACTACAAGAAGTACATTGAAGTGCTGGAGCATGTCCAGAGAAGAGCAACCAAGCTGGTGAAGGGTCTAGAGAGCAAGTCCTATGAGGAGAGGTTGAGGGAACTGGGATTCTTTAATTTGGAGGAGGCTGAGGGGAGACCTCATTGCTCTTTACAAATAGCTGAAGGGAGGTTGTACTGAGATGGGTGTTGGCTTCTTCTCCCAAGTAAGTAACTATAGGACTAGAGGAAATGGCCTGAAGTTGCTCCAGGGGAGGTTTAGACTAGATATTAAGAAGAAATTCTCTTCTGAAAGTGTGTCAGGCACTGGAACAAGCTGCCAGGGAGGAGGTTGAGTCACCATCCCTGGGCATATTCAAGAAACCTTGTAGACCTTGGTCTCTAGGACATGCTTTAGTAGTCATGGCATTTGGACTTGGTGATCTTAGAGGTCTTTTCCAACCATGGTGATTCTATGATTCTGAATATTAAATTGAGTGTAGGAGGAGCCAAGGCAATGACTCCTCTTCTTTACCCTAAACTATTGCAGATGTCAAGGTTTCCACTGAGCTTTGTGTTTCCTTAGAACATGCTTGTTAGTGTGATAATTTGCTGCAGAAGTTTTACAAGTAATACCAAACTGCCATTTTGTGTGATTTTTTTTTTTTTTTGGTTCTTTCTCTGAAAGGTAAGAGTAAATCTTAACTAACACAAGTAAAGGTAAAAAGAGTTTTATTCACCCAGTAGTGCTGTTTTTTTTAGACTACCATTACCCTTTTTTTTTTTTCCTTACTCAAAGGATTAATGCCATCTTATGAATATTTGAGCTTGTGTCCTGATTAGGAATTCATTGCTCTTTATAGGCTGAAACATGTGCTCCAGGGAAACTACTGAAATATAGTCTAGAAAATTAAATAAATTTCCAACTTAAAGCAAACAGTATGTTTATTTAATGCCATCAAGACTTCTCAATTGTTTAAAGGTTTGTTGTGGAAGATTCAGAACTGGACAAAACTTTAATATTCAAAATGTCTTTGCTTTTTGCTAAGGCATGACTGCTGTGTGTGAGTCTTGAGTGAGTTTTGTTGTGTCTCTGATAGCCTAGTTCAGTGCTGTTAGTCTGTAAGGAGTAGGAGCAGAATGTGGTTTGCTCTGATCCCATTTCTTTTGTTGACTGAAATGCACTTCAGTGTGAGATCTTCTTGTGATGGAAAGTAACATCTTAATGCTGTGTGGGGTTTCTCAGTTTATCTTGCTCAGGTACTAGCAACTGCCAGCAGCAGCACTAGGGAATGTACACCATCTCTGTAGGTAGCAATAGCTCTCAAGGCCACACTCTTTTTTTTCTGTTTCTAATTGCACAGTTAACTTTGTGCCTTACTTTTCCTTTACCTATTGTCTGTGTAAAAGGCACTTAGCTTATGTTGCAGGTAAGCATCTCTGAAAGGCATTGCTGCTGATGTCTGTCACGCTGTTTTTTTTTCATACTAGCAGTGATACATGTACTACAATTTGCTCTAACTAGTTTCAATCCTTCTAATATATAGATATTTATATTATTATCGTTGTATATTCTAGGTCTGTCTGGTGCTGGGAAGACTACAGTGAGCATGGCACTGGAGGAGTATTTAGTATGCCATGGCATTCCGTGCTACACGTTGGATGGTGACAATATTCGACAAGGCCTTAATAAGAATTTGGGTTTCACACCAGAAGACAGAGAAGAAAATGTCCGTCGTATTGCTGAGGTTGCTAAACTGTTTGCAGATGCTGGTTTGGTGTGCATTACTAGTTTCATCTCTCCTTATGCTCAGGTAAATGTGAAAACCCTCTAGATAAATGTAGGGAAAATACAAAATGTCACTCATAATTTGTTATAGGAATCCCTTGCTGAACTTCAACAGAATCAATTGCTTGATTGTTTTTTTGACATTTGTGCTTTCTACAGATGATCACTCAAATTTCAGAAACGTTCATCTTAATTATAAAACAAGGTTACATTAGTCCTATAACTGAAACTGTCCTTCAGTCTTTCTTCAAACTGAAGTGTCTTGTTTGATCCATGTAGATGCCAGTATTTTATTACTACAAAAAATATGTATATACTTAACCTGAAGACTCGGTTAAATTGTTTTTAAAAGCAGTTTTTCCTTCAGTAAATGAATAGTGTGAGCTGAATTTTACTAAGGGGCTTAAGGGAAAAGTTGTTTAATTACCTTTAGCTCTTTTTCCTTAATTTCATGCCATGCATACAACATATCCATGTTAACCTTTTTTTGTCTATACATTTTGTCTGTGTATGAGAACATGGATGGGAGGGACATAAAGGCTGTGTTAACACCAAGTATTTTGAAGAATTGTTCATGGGCTGTAGCTCAGACATTTCACAGCATAAGGTGTTATTTTCCCTATTCATGCCAGGGGGGCTGGAAGTACATGATCTTTAAGTTCCTTCCAACGTAAACCATTCTGTGATTCTAATTTGTTGGTTACAGTGGTAGAAACAGGTCTTCTGATAATAATTTGGGGAACTCAAGATCCTGCAGTAAACCAGAAGACTTCATTTATTAGAAAAAATAATCACACTTAAGATATAGTTTTAGTGGCTTTTGAAAGTCTTTTGTTCTCTAAATAAAATTCACCAATTGTATCAATGCTTGGCAAGCTGTACAAAGAAAAGAATATTTGGAGCGTACAAGTCTTGTCATATTAATGAATGCAGAGAAATCTGATGCCCTGGAGAGAAAGTGGTTAGATCAAGAGCAGGAGGTAATAATGCCTCCTCTGATATTAGAAAGCTAGGCAGATGTAACTGTTGGGGATGTAACTCCTAATACAGCAGCAGGTACAGAAAAAAATGCAGTTTATGCCTGGGTTTGCGTGGGTGTTTTTTGGTTTGTTTTGTGGGGGGTTTTGTTGTTGTTGTTGTTTTTTAAATAAAAATGTTTAATGTAAAATATCTCAGATCTTCATGTCAGCTTTTACCGTGTGATGAATCATGTCTAGCCAACCTGATGTAGCTTGCAAGCATTGATTGATCAAATCATGTTTCTTTTTTCAAACTTTGAAAACTTGTTTACAGCTTACTATCAGCTTCTTCGGAATGAGCTTCAAAAACAGAGTGTCGATATGTAATCTTTTAGGTTTTTTTCTGTTTTCTTTCAGGATCGTAATAATGCCAGACGAATTCATGAAGGGGCAAGTTTGCCTTTTTTTGAGGTATTTGTGGATGCTCCATTGCATGTCTGTGAGCAGAGAGATGTTAAAGGACTCTATAAGAAAGCCAGGGCTGGAGAAATCAAAGGTGAACCTAGATGTAGTTACATCCTTTCTACATAAGTGAAACATTGGCATAATTTGACTCCCCACATGGGGATGTTCTCAAGTCTGTGAGTGTACCACCCCTGAAAACAGCATGGACTGGGGACAGGACCAAGCAGAAAAATGTGATTGACTTCTAGCTCATGCAGCTGCCTAGTTAAATGCATAGGACAGCAAAAAGGCAAAGCTTTTTATCCTCACATAAAAAAAACTTGAGCAGATTACATGGTTTCTACTGCAAGCTCTTACAATTGAGGATTAGTCTATTTCCTTTGTGTGTCCATTGACTACTTAAAAAAGAGCCTGATTCTCTCTGGAGTCTATAATTGCATTTATAAGAGTTACTGACTTCTTCCAAAAAGTAAAACATGGCCATTATCTTTCTCTAAAGACCATTAGGAACATTTCTGAAGAGACTAACTTGTATTTTGAAAGTAGGATTCTGTGCTAGTACCCATGAATATGATTTCCTATTCCCAGCCCCAGATCAAGCTTTAAGTGCAGCCTGCATTAAAAAAAGTTTAAATGTGATCACTCAAGTGATGAATTTCAATCATTGTTTCAAGTACTTCTTTTCTTGGTGTTATATTAGTTTGCAGAAGTTGATGATACATTTTACCTGTATTAAGAAGCAAAACAGTTTTTAAAGTAATCTATTTCAGAGGCTGAATTTTCAGGTGCTATAATGATAAACTCAAGTTGCTATGAATCAAAAGGGATATAAAATTCAAGAAATAAAAGACATTCCACATGACTGGTTGCTTGATCCTTCTAGTACTACCAAATATTTAATGTGAAGACCAGGAATAAATAAAGCTGAACCAAGGTTTGCTCAGAATCAGAGCAAGATGGCTTGAGAGAGCATGACATAAAGTTCTGTACAGAATCCATACTTGTGCTGTAGAACTTTTTTCATATTCTGTCAATTTTAGAAGCCCCATAATGGAATTGTGTTACTTAAGAGATAGGTGTGAGATATTCAGTGCTTGGGTAAGTTACAGGTAGGTCTGGCTGTATCTTATGACCTGTCTGATATGTGAAGGATGAAAATTAAATGAACTTTTCCACAAGGAATGTCAGCAACTGTTAACTTTTCTCTGGCAATTTTAATGGGACACTTTCTTTGCCTTCTATTCCCACTTGTCCCATCAGATACTTATAAGGAATATAGTTTTTGGAAACTATACTGACCCTTATCACATGGGTTACTGCAGCAATTTGTATTTTTCTTAGATGGGGAATTAAGCTACTGATTTTGAGAGTATTTAAGTCTGAAGTGAAAAATCTGGAATTTTAATGTTTGCATTTGCAATTGTAGAGGATGCCAATGTTCAGTTGCTGCAGACCAGCTGATATTTCTGTGCAGATCTGACTTGTAGTGCTGAAATGCTTTGCCTTTGGGCTTGAGTTTTCCTACTTGTTTCAGCATGGTTAGTCAGAATCTCTGATGTTTCAAAGTGAATTGCTAGCTAAGTAAGCCAGTACAAGTGTCACTGGTAGCTTGTACAGTCTGTGACAATAGATATTATAACTGTAATAAACAGACACATCTCCTTTGCTTTAACAGTTATGCTAAGATGTGTATGTTAGCTAAAATAATAAAATAGGTGTTGGAATTCCTTACTCTTCAGAGTACTGCTTGGTGGTATGACTGTACAGTTGCATATATGCTGGTCATTTGTCAACAGGCTTTGTGTTAAAAAACCCCTAATAACAGCTAATCATAAATTGCTAACTGTGGGTTGATGTGCACAGTTATTCTGTCAGTGTTCCATTCTTTATTCACAGTATAAATCAAATAAGTTCTTTAGCAGAAATGGGCTATGTATGTGGTACAGAATGCTGAAGTTTGATGCAGTCATGTAGTAGAATAAGCAGAGAGTTTGATAAAGAAGGAAACTGTTGCTTTCCTTAAGAAATCTTGTATTAAGGTAGCTAAAACTGCTTTTGCCAGATGTGTTGGTTTATACCTAGAAAACTGTCAGTGAACAATGTTAGTATAGAGTAATCTTATGGGAAAAACTCACTGAAGATTTTTGTCACACGTTCTGTAGGTTTTACGGGGATTGACTCTGAGTATGAAAAACCAGAAGCCCCAGAGCTTGTGCTCAAAACTGATTCCTGTGATGTGAATGATTGTATACAACAAGTTGTGGAACTTCTTCAAGAGAGGGTGAGCAGAAATGCAGATATATCTTAGTAACGTTTTTCAAAGTATTTTGTGTCTACAGTCTGAATGTATATACTGGGAAAAGCAGAGACAGTTAAGAGTTAAAGGCTTATACATCTTTATATTTGAGCTTTTAAACTTGTCCTGTTGTGTGCTTCCTTTTTAAATCTAAACATTGCAGCAACATGGATCTCTCAGTGAAGTAAGATTTTGACAAGTGGAAAATTAATTTATACTTATTATAATAACTGATAACTGGAAGGGAGACAAGGCTGTCTCAGTTGTTACAGAACCAATGATGAATGTCAACTTTAAAATTGGTAGCTATCATGTATAAGAGTCTGAAAGTTCTTACTTTGTCTCTTTAGTGTACAAATTAACATATACTACAGATGTGAAGAGACAGGGATGCACATACACAGTAATTGAGCTGGCTTAAATAGGAGCTGCTGCAGTTGTGTCTGGTTTCCCCTTTTTCCGTTGTTTTTCTTGCACTATTGAAAGTGGTCCTGCAGCTGTGTAATGACCAATTCAGGAAGCTGATCTTCTTGACATGGCTGAGTTGAGTTAATGGATCATAGATCCTGAAAAGGTTCAAGCCTGTAATCTACATCATCCCTTTTGAAGCCTCTGGGCCTCCTGTTCTCTGAACAAGTGGATTCAGCTCATAACCCAACCTAAAAAAACCCCAAACAACAAATCCACAAATAAACAAACAGAAAAACCCCAACAAGCTACCCATGCTAATCTTCATGTAGAAGAAATGTGTCTCCTTACATTCTTATACATAGTCAGTGGGTAGTAGGATAACACTTCAGAGAATTTCTTTTATTTAGATACTCTAGCAGACAATTTTTTTTTCTTTTCTTTTCGAAGTGGCTGTTCTGGAAATTTAAGGTATAGCTGGAGTAAAGCTCCACGATGTGCTGAAGTTGGTAAAAGCCGAAGACCTCATCATGTAGCCAGCACAGAGTTAATGTTAACCTTCTTTGCCAATATAGATCTGGAGAGATTTAGTCTCTTGCATATACATTTTCAGGAAAACTCTTTTAATAGATCACTGCTTGCTCAAGGTTGCACAGAAGATAAGGCAAAAAAATACAGCAGAATTCTGGATTTCTACCCTAATGCTCATCTAAATTTTTTTGGAAGAAAGGAGAGAGCTGTGTAGGAGTCGTACCTGTGGGAGGTGACAGTTCATGATTGTGGGAGACCTTGTGCCTCCTGCTCAGAAGAACAACCCAGTATGTTTCAGAATTGCAGAAACCAGTGTTAAATGTTCTAAGATTGGGGATCACCAAGTCTTGAGTCAATACATTTGGTACATAGTGCTGATTTCTGGCTTCTGGCCCAGACAGCTCTACATTGTCCTTTGCTTAAGGCACGTTTTAGCACTTTTAAAATTTCTTTTGGACACAGCACTATTGTGAATGCAAAGTTATCTTAGTGCTTCTTTACTTTAATGAAACCAAGGCATGGCTGAACTGGCATGTCTTGTTCTCAGGCCATATTAATACAGTGATGCGTTGAGAATATAATTTCTGTAGATTTCCTTCAGCTGGAATAAGCCATGTCTATGCTCTTTAATAATCCACTGTGATTAGTAAGTAAAAACACAATAGGCCAGCAACATTAAAAGTAATTAGGAATGTTTGCTTTATTTCAGTAGTTTTGAAAAACTTTGGGAAGAAGTCTTTTCAAAGTATTGGTAATTCTTGAATTTTGAGGACTGCTTTTATACTAATTCAGACAATAAAGACAGCTGGAACTGTATAATGTGTGTTGAGATAGGGATAGATATACACACATATTTATTGAACAAGAATTGGAAACATTTTTCTTTTATAGGTAGTGGAACAATTTGATTTAGAATTTTTCATAATATTTGAAAAGCACTCTGAAATAAATTTATCAATATTCTAAAAACTTGCTCAGGCCGGTAACCACACAGAAATAGAACTAATAAGCAGCTGTTGCATCTGGAAAGCTTTTGTGTGGCATAACTTGGTTTTAAAGGTTACCTGGTTTGGTTTCTTTGCATGCAAGTTCAATAAATACGTTAAAGTGCTTTTTAGGGATATACAATGCAGGCTACTGATGAGTATCTCCTAAAGCAGTGGAATTTAAGTAATATGAAAACTGAAAACTGCCTTTATTTTTTTTTTTTTTGGTACTACACAAATCAATGGTTGCATACTTTTCTTTCTTTTTTTTTTCAGTCAGAAAGGCTTGTGTGGCTTTTCAGCTTGATAAATTTGGCTTTCAATCTGCTGATATTTTCTGATGTATTCAGACAAGCCTAATATGGGTGTTTGGCTGCAAAGTCTTCATTGTTTTCTTTCTTGATTTTCCTGTCAAAAATTGGTGAGGGAGAAGGGCACAAACTTTGACCTGCTGTGTAGATAAGGTCTCAAGTGCCACATAAAACAGTAGAATTACTTTTTTTAACCTTCTGGCTATGTTCTTGCTATTACAGTACAGTATACCATTGGCCTTCTTTGCTGTGTGGGCATACATTTTCATAATGTGCAACTTGTCCTTTGGTGGAATGAACCTTTGACTAAAGTTACTACCTTGAAGTGGTCACTAGATGGCTTCCTAGCCTAGTATTTTAGTGTAACTCCTACAGTTTAAAAGAGCTATGGATTCCTCTTGCTGCTGTTTGTTTCTTTTAAATAAATCTGTTATTTAAATATTATTTTTATGTCTGCAAGGGAATCTAGGTTTACTAATCCTACAATTTCTCTAAATGTCTGACTCAGTGTTGCTAGACATGCCTTCAAGCTGTTTACATCCTTAGAATGAGGTAGGTTGTTGACAGAAACTGCATTGTAAAACCTTTTTCTCCATTGTTTTACCCATTAGTGGAACACTAAAACCAGGATAATATTTGAAGATAATTTTTTAGTAGGCATATTTATTTTAAGCTTTTGATCTTTGGTAAAATTAGGACATTCTATTATGGTAATGAACTAGGGTCCAGAGGGGAATCTTCTGTGAAGCAGAATAATGTGTACTCAGTCATTATAATTTGCTCTTAAGGTCTGCTGTTCTTTACGGCAGGCAATACCTTTATTTGATCCTGTGCTTAGTGCTGTGCCAGGAGTCTGCTACAGCTCTCCTGGGCAGTGATGCTGCTGCTCAGGCAGAGAAAATAGAAAGCAGGTTTTGCCTAATTACTGTCTAGTCAGCTTCCCAAATGATGTCTGATATGTAATGGACTGAGCTTTTCCTTATAAAACATAATGTCTTGTTTAAAACTAATTTTTCAAATAAAATTTTATATTCAGTGGTATTCTGTTGAGAAAACTAGATTGCAGTTCATTGCATACGTGTGTGCATAGGTGGCCTCACATTTAAGTGTTCTAAATATTAGTATACAGAGTAGGGCAGTGGCATTATGTCATTAGCTGTAAGAAATGCCTTTAATTTGTACTTCTGTATTAATCATTTTCAGTTGAGAAAGAGATTTTTTTTTTTACTGCCATGTTACCACTTTTATTTTAAGTTATAGTGAATGACTTAAATTTATAAATGCTCAATCTCTAAATTATTTTTTTTTTTACTTCTTTAGCAACAGTAGAAGCAGAGACTCTTCCTTTCTATTGTAGAAAATGTACACATTAAGAAGTCATAAAAAATGCACTTAAATAGTTAAAAATTTACTTGGTAAATGTTATATAGGGAATTTAAGGTTTAGAAGAAAATCTTGTCAGAATTTTTCACTTCAGTTACTCCGGCCAGCAGCTTGGCTAGCAATATATCATCATCTTGGAACAGTGCTGTTTTTTAAATGAGTGAAAATCACTTAATGAATAAAGTCTCACTACAGAATAGTGCAACAATCGAATTTTACTTCTTGAACATGTGTTCAGTGTCAAAGAAGCATTCTGAGCAAACATTAAGTTCTGTTTCTTTCTTTTATACAGGACATTGTACCAGTAGATGCCTCTTATGAGGTGAAAGAGCTTTATGTGCCAGAAAATAAGCTACAGTTGGCCAAAACTGATGCTGAATCTCTGTTAACCTTGGAAATAAATAAGGTATTGTGTGTTCAGTTGTCTCATTGATGCTGGAGTTGAAAGACAGTCTAATGAGTTGCTCAGCAGAAGTAGATATAGTTGAGATACCTGTATGGGTTAGAGAATGTATGTCAATATGCTTTTCCCCTCTTTTCTTGAGAGAAATCACAGCATTTGTGTTTTGTTTGGTGACTTTCCGGAGAGAACAATTTAATCTTTGTAATTTCATAAATAATGTTTGATATAGTGTTACTTAGTTTATGTCAAGCCTGAAGATTCAAATTTACAGTGACTTCTTCCTACTGTCTCCCCTTCCCCATCCATGGACTAAACCATGAATGTCTTGTAAAGGCAGTTTTTCCTGGAAGTATAATTAACTTAAGGAAAAAAATTAATTACACAAACCATTACATTTTGAATTCTGGTAACAGAAATATGAAGAAAATCAGTTACTACTTCTTGATTGGATTTAAGGCCAGGTTGGATGGGGTTGCTTTGAGCAAGTCAAGTGAGAAGTGTCCATGCCCATGTAGGGGGGTTGGAACTAGATGGTCTTTAAGGTCCCTTCCAACCCAGACCATTTATGATTCTCTTTGTTGGAAACTTTCAGCTGAATTATAGTAACCTTACATACCAGGCGCAAACAGTTGTAAACTTAAGTCTACAGACAGATGATGAGATCTACTTTACTTTTTTTTTTTTTTCCTGGTTAGAGCATATTCATGCTACTTCTGGTTTATAATGGAGAAAATGTGGAAAAGCACAGATCAACTTGATAAATCTGTTCTTATTTTGGTTAAATATATTATTTTCCAACTCAGATAAATTAGACAAAGCTACTTATGGCTGTGTTTTTGTTCTCCTGCACCTTCTTTTTATGAAGAACTAGGCCTAAACACAGATACAATGCATGAGTTTTTTCACTGTGTTTTTGACAGTATTACTAGAAGTTAAGGCTAAGCATTTGATCTAGAAGCTGGCTAAGCTTAGAGTTGAGCATCTGCAATGAGTAACTTGACTTTCAAGGATTGAAATGACATACTAAGCACTGAATCAAATGGTAGCTTTCTACTACTAAAAAATTGTAATACTTCCTTTCACTACGTTTTGCTAGATTCCTTTCACACATGTGTAAAACTATTGCTTGGATCGGGAACATATATTTAAGGTCACCATTACTAAATTTCTGTATTGTCCTGTTCTAAATCTCTCCCAATATAGAAAAGCAAATCTTTTCTCCCTTCACACACAACCAGTGGTTAAATATCAAGCAAGTATATAGCCTAAGCTTGGGAAAAAAAAGTCTTGTGCTTGTCTCAGCATAAATTAAACAATGTAATAAAATTAGTCACGCTTTCTGCAAAAGCTTGTCCTTGTCAAAGACTTGATGAAGTTTTAGTAATGCACATGCAGAAAAAATAGAGGCCACACACTAAGTCATAGTGTGACTGTTTTGAGTGCCAAGGAAGGAAATTTCCTGTAAGTTGATACCTCTTAAATTAAAATAAGTACTAGTCCTGAGAGAATTTTACTTCTGGGTTGTCTTCACTAGTTTCTGCAATAAATTTTTCTCATCTGTTTAAGATTACATATCTTGAGATTTTCCCCCATAATTCTCATATTTTTGTGGTAATTGTATATGTTAGTTTTATCTTTTTTTAACACCTTGATTATCTTGCTTTGTTAAAAAAAAAAAAAAAGGAAGTTGGACTCTCTAATTTGATTAACTGAACTCTATAAAGCATTTTAAAACAAAGTTTGTTGGTGCAGGATTTTTATATGTTGGTTTGTCTTTTAACACATGGGATTTTGATCTAGTGTAAGCAATAACTTGTATCTGCTATATTTTTCCATTTCTTTACAAGGTGGATATGCAATGGGTCCAAGTACTAGCAGAAGGTTGGGCAACACCCTTAAATGGCTTTATGAGAGAGAGAGAATACCTACAGTGCCTTCACTTTGACTGTCTCCTTGATGGTAGGGTAAAACTCACTATTTGAAAGGCTGAGCAAACTAATTTTACTTCTAAAATATTGGTGATGTTTTGCTTCTCTGTGGTGGTGCAGTATCATGTTATCAGGCTTGTACCCAACCGGAGTTAAGAGAACAGCATATTACAATAATAAGTTTTAAACTTGATGTTTTTATTCTTTTTATACATACTGCTAGGTTAGACTTTGAATGTCTTGTCTTTTTGCCTTTACAAATTACATTTTTCAAATGTTTTTGTTGTTGAGAAGTATTTAAACTGAGAAACTATATTTCTTAATTTGTTTTGAAGAAACTGATTTTAGAATTCAGAATTGCAGTTTAAGTGCTATTTAGCTCTGTGTGCCACAAGATTTGTTCCATAATAGTGATGAAGGAAAGGATAACAAACTGACTTAAATGCTGGAGCTATTGCAAAAATTAAATCAGAATTTGAGGAGGTGGCTTGAGTATGGACAATTGTCACATGTAATTGAATCACTATGACTTACTAATTATCATGTCATAATTTAAATGAGTATATTTTATTTTGCATTACCAATTGGCTAAGAGCAAGCATTAGTTAAGATGGTCAACAGGTGATAACATCCTCAGGTTTTGAAATCTGATTGTGATCCTCTGTTAGGTTTAATTTATTCCTCTTCAAAGGCTGTGTTTTACTCCAGCCTTTTAGTTTTTTTGCACTCTGTATATCCAAGAGGGGTGGTAAAAATTTCTGTCTCTGCACTTCCTTCTGCATTACTCTTCTCTTGCTGTAGACCAAACAGCAGACAAAAAAAAAAGGTTGCTTGTCTTTCAGTTCTGTGATCCAGAGATCTCTTGTCCCTCTTACATTTTCTAGTTCCCTTTTCTGTAAGTCTCTTGGATACTGTCCTAGGCAACATAATGCCATCCTGTTATTTTGGAGTATCTCAGGTTTGCGGCGTCATTTTGGACTACTAGTTTTGTTTTCATTTCATTTGCCTTCTGTGTGTTGATCCAAGTGAAACATACTCTGCGCATGGCATGCTGTGCATTTAACTGCTAAAGTAGCTTGTAGCTCCTTATTTTGCCCTGTAGTCTTCTGTAAATCAGAATTTTTATAAGGCTTTTAAGACCTTGCATAGGTGACTGTTTCAGATATGGCAATATTACAAGTTTTAAACTTCTCTTGCAATTGTTTTTAGTATCATGTGTATGCTGCAAGAAATAAGTGTAATGCAAAATAACAAATAACTTGCTAATGTAAACCATTTTCAATCTTAAACTTGAATAGAACAGTCATGTTGCTTTAGATGCTACCATATTTCCTTCTCTTAGATATCTACTTCAACATTTATGTATGAGAACTTTTTTAGAAAAATGTGATTGCCTTACTGCTCCTCTGCTACTTGAAGAAGTGGCAACACTTAAGTCAAAACAATATCCTGAAAGTTTCCTCCCTGCTTGGTATGTTAGTTCTGAAGTCTCACAGCAGAAGTAATTTTCCAGGTTTCTGTTCTGAAAGGGGGGGAGATTGTTTAATACTTGCAATGCATTTCATACTTTGACCGTTAAATGCAATGTTCATACTGCCTTCTACATTATGGAGATCAGTGCAAGTAAGTCATTCTCACTTTAAAGCTTAAGTTACCTCAAATAGCCTCAGGCTGACATTTGTGCTCATCTGTGTCTTAACAAGCTCACTCAACTACCTTGCCTTAGTTTCTCGTTTGTACAGTGGCTGAAGGCATATAGAAAATACTGTATATTTATTATTGATCACTGACAAAATTTTAATAATCAACAGGTTTGAAATATCTTTCCAGTTTGAAATATTTATTTAATTGTTCACAAAGCAAAAGGAATTTTTAAATTATCAAGTTAGGGGCGGCAAGTTACCTCTTCTGTGACTGTTGCCAAGCTCAATTTTACAACCTAATTGCTTTGAAGGTAGCTCTGAGCACTAAGACTGAGTTTAAGAGAAGATGCACAGCTTTCCATTTTGCATTATGAAGGAAGGGGAGACCTATTTTTGTCTTAAGGTTTTCATGCATCTTCATGATTTTTAATTTCCTTACTACACTTAAGATAATACTGAGATAAGTTTGTATATTAAAAACAACAAAAAAAGTTCAGATAACAGGGACTAAGCCTTATTTAGAGTCTTGTCCCCACTAAAGCCAAAAGCAAGCCTCCTCTTAACTTCAGGAGGTCCATGACTTTTCTCCTGGAGACAACCCAAAAGTTTTGCACTCTTTCAGCAAGAGTATGGTCATTAGAATTCAAGCCTTTGAATGAGACTTGCTATGTTTACTCCACTGGGTTTCTCAAATACCACTCTTGCAGTCAAGAAAAACAAGACCTCCAGCAGCTAGCAGTGAAATAAAAATGAGAACAACATAACTTTTCAGATACATTGATTTAGTTTTAGAAGTAAAGCAGCTGTTTTCAGCTGAACAAACTGTAAAGTGTGTCTTCCTGACTCAACAGGTTTTTTTCTGAAATATTTATACCTGAATCTGAATACAGTTTTAAGTAAGCAGCAAAAGTCATGGGTACATTTGGCTGCCTCTGTTGCATTAAACTTATAGATTGAAAGTTTGGCTGCTGAGAATGCTGTTTCTTTTGTACCTGTTATCCACTTCCATAGGAATCTTGCCTAATATTTTACATGATGTGTTTGAAAATGTCAGATGTGTGTTTCTGCTCACTGTATAGCTTCTTGAACAAAATATTTGAGATCCAAAAAAAGTAGTATCCTCACAGTCTAAATGCTTGTGTGCAACTATAAGCACTTGCTATTTTCAGTGCTTTGTTCTTTCTCAAACCTCAGTGCTTGCACATTTTTATAGTACATATATCTTATGCAAGAATTCAATATAAAAGTTGCTTTTGACCCATGGTAAAGTAAATACTTGAACTACCTGTTGTGTGATACACTTAGAACCTGGACTGTAATTCATTAGAAGCATAGATTTTCATAATATCATTGATGACCACTGCTAGGGATAAGGGATTTTTTTTCTCCCCTCACTCTGCAGGGGGAGTTATTAATCTGTCAGTGCCTATAGTGCTAACAGCTACTCAAGAAGACAAAGAAAGACTGGATGGGTGTACAGCAATTGCACTGGTGTATGAAGGTTGCCGCGTGGCCATTCTCCGTAATCCCGAATTCTACGAGCACAGGAAAGAGGAACGCTGTGCTAGGCAATGGGGAACGACGTGCAAGGAACATCCCTATATCAAGGTCTGCATTTAAAAGTTGAAAATCTAGGCCTATTAGTTGTACTGTTTGAGGAGCTGCAGATTAAATTAAGTCAATATCTGTGACTGGTGTGTATCAACAGCAAAACTACTTTGAGAACTAATTATAATATTTGAGCAGAAACAAAAGTGATTTTTTTGTTTGTTTTGTTCTAAACAGCTGTTGGATAGTTTGCACTTAGCGTGAAAATCTAATCTCAATATGATTGAGAAGGTACTGTAGAATTTGTGCTACAGAAGAGGGAACTTTGCCCTGTAGTGTGCCCAGGAAACACATCCCTCTCTGTAGGCAGGTGGACCATCAAAGCTTCTTAATTAGCAGATATATGCATTGTGAAGGCAAGAAAACTCCTATTTTGCCTACATGTGGAGCACATGAGACGTGCCTGATTTAGATGCTTTTAAAATAGGCCCTCTTCCTGGATAGTTCATAATTTAACTCTCTGGGCAGTTATTTCCTATTCATTGTGGTTCAGTATGTTTTATTATTTTGACCTTATGTGAATGTCATATTGAAATACATATAATTGAGTAATAGTCATTGCAGTGCTATGTTTGGTTTTGCAAACTGATGTAAATGTTGCATCTTAGCTCTGCACAGCCAAAATGTTTCTTTTCCCATTTGTCTCTATAGTATCTTTTTGTCTGACTTAAAATCAGATTAAAAGAAATTAAACCTCAAATTATGAGCTTGCTCTTAAAAAAAGAAAAGCCTTTGTGTTCTGGAAGTATCTGTATGACTAGTAAAGATGTGAAAACCATGATTTTTTTTTAATGATTGCATTTATGTGTAATCAATTTATTACTGACAGAAGTTGTTGTGTTCAGGAATATATCTGAAACTGGACATCTGCTAGATACAAGTAAGAGTATTCTGGAATATTTTCAAAGCCCTTGATATGTTCTGTGCTGATGAACATAAGATTACCCCCTTACAGAAAACACAAATTTAAGACATGCTAAGAAAATCTCATGCAGGCAAGATTTGAATAACTCATTATAATGCATTAGTAATTACAGAATGATGTGGCTGAAACTAATGTAGAAGATGAGGAACTATGTCCTTATGTTTGCTGGGGTATATAGTAGTATAATGACAGCTTATGAATGTGTGCATGGCAGCATCATGACAGCACGTGAATCTGGTGTCCCTTCTAAATTAGCAATCTTTGGGTGCCTGAGAGTTACTGTGGTGCAGAGTTTTGCCATCTTCCCCCCACCTTGGTGAGTTGTCCAAGTCTGGCATTTTCTTTGTAACGTCATTTAATCCGGCAGGTCCTCTATTTCAAAGCCAAAATAAATTGAAAAATCTATACTTAATTTTAACAACTTACAGGTTTAGTATGTAATGCCTTATGTTACATCAACATTTGTTGTCATCCTTAAATTACATAAGGCTAAAAAATTATCAGAAATATGGGGGCAACTTTTAAAAAAGTTTGTGTGGTTCCATCTTCAAAAGCAAATGTGTTCTCAGAAATAAATGATTTCTGATTTATTTCTGTGGCCATTACTAGAATATGTTAAGCCGCTTGCCATGTTTTTTTTATAAAGGGTGAAGTGATATTTGAAGATATCAAAAGAATTCTAGTCATTGTACATATGTTGCTTTGGTAAACTGTTACCATGAAACAATCCAAAAGCCATCCTACTTCAAAGATTCTGATTTTATTTGTAAATTAAAGTGGGCTAGTAGTTAATCAGAGCTGTTTTATCTGTTACTTTATTGCTGAACAGAATCTTGTGTATAGTTTGCAACCTCATTAGTACTTAATGTATTAGTCTTTCCAACCACTGTTTTTTTTTATGTAATAATGTTGGTTAGGAATACTGGCTACTTGCATTTGTATATATTAAAAAAATTAGTATTTTGAAAGAAAAGCATATGCTTTGTGTGTTTCTCCTGCACTGTCATATAAGTGTCTGTATATGTTACAGTGGTTTTTGGTTTTTGGGTTTTTTGTTTGGTTTTTTTAGTTCTTAATAAAAAACAAAACAAAAACCCAAGCCACAAACAAAATCAACACTGATACTTAACTGGAGACTGTCAAAATTAACCCAGAATTCTTCCATTGGTAAAGATGTACCCCGATTGCAATGTTCTAATGGCTTAAGAGGGCCCGACAATCAATCCTAACAGAGATTTTCCTTTCTTTTCTTAGATGGTTATGGAGCAAGGGAACTGGCTTGTAGGTGGAGATCTACAGGTCCTTGATCGTATTTATTGGAATGATGGACTTGATCAATACCGTCTCACTCCAGCTGAACTAAGGCAGAAATTCAAGGACATGAATGCTGGCGAGTAGATTTTTATTGTTCTATTTCTTCCTGCAAAGATCTATGTAAATGCCTGTTGCCTCAATACCAAGGATGTTTTAAGGATGAAGATTTTTGAATGCTCTCTTAGGTGGCATTCTTTGCCTGTATTAACTTTTATGACCCTTAGGCATTGCATTGCCTAATACACAAATATACAAGAGAGTAATCCCTGGGAATTTTATCTTTCCATGCACACAAGACATATTGCTAATGCAAGAAAAGATAATGTGGTAGAATCCAATTTTTAAATTGTCAGGTTTGGCTAAAACTGGAGATGTATGGTTGAGTGCTAAATTTTCATATTCTATTTTTAAGTCTGTTCCATGCTGCTTCTGGGGAGCAAAGCTTATAACAGTAGAGCAAATAAATTGGTGCATAGTGGCATATATCACAGTTAAAAATTGTAAGCTAACTGTTGGGTTTATATTGCAGAAGAAACAAAACAGTTTATCTCAGTAAAGCAGTTGTCTTAGGCATTTAAGAGGCTGAGTAATGTCATAAAGCAGAATCAAACATCCTGCCTTTATTGTGGTAGTGACTGGCAGGCAGCTGCTGAGCACTTCTAAGTGTGAGCGAACAGATTAACATCAAGAATGCAAACTGAGATTGCTCCTGAGCTCCTGTCTTTTTTTCAATGTGGTCAGTATTTTCAGGATCTGCAGGTTTGAGATTCCAGTCTTTGGTTTAGCTAGACCCTAAATAAATATATTTGATCTCTGAAAAAAATTCTCTAGGTTTCATTGGTTTATTGGGAAACCTCTCAGTTACGGCAATTTTGCTGTCTTGTGGATTACCTTAGTTCATAATTTTCAGAGGGGAGAAATCCTGGTTGTGTCAGGGTTATACAACAAAAGGGTTTGTAATGCTTTAGAACAGCAGTGAGCCTGGCTTTGTTGTACTTGCTTGCTTGTACTGTGTGTAAGGTCTACTAAGCTGCTTAGTTGAAGGAAGCATGTGAATGCACATTAAATCCCATTTTATTTGTTTTGTTGCAAATATGTCTGTTTGTTTTCCTGATGATACAGGTAGCGTAGTTTGATTTCTTCTTAGAGTTTAACTTTATATTATGTGCTTGTGCAAGTGAAAAATCCTAAGAGGAGATTATAGCTATTGGAGAAACTAGAGTAATTCTGCTGAAATCTCAAAAATGAATGAAGCTTATTACTGTTTTTTAGTATTTTTTTAAGATAAGTTTTGCTTATTGAGAATAATGATTTTATAATAATTCATAATACTTTAATGACCTGTGACTACTGTATTATACTAGTTTAATACAATTCAGAGGAAAGATTATACTGTATGAAGATTTTTCTGTGATTGTGTAAGTCCTGATCAAATAACTTGTTTTCCTTCTATCTTTTATCTGTTTTTTCTCCATAGATGCTGTCTTTGCATTCCAGTTACGCAACCCAGTGCACAATGGACATGCTCTTTTAATGCAGGATACTCATAAGCAGCTTTTGGAACGTGGCTACCGGCGCCCAGTTTTACTCTTGCATCCACTTGGAGGCTGGACAAAAGAGGATGATGTTCCCCTCATGTGGCGCATGAAGCAACATGCTGCAGTACTGGAGGAGGGAATCTTGAATCCAGAAACAACAGTGGTGGCTATATTCCCTTCCCCCATGATGTATGCTGGACCAACGGAGGTAAATACATCCAGAGTTTAAAATAAAAGAAAATAAAACCCCTTGGACAGTGCACTGGAGTACTTTGTGCTATGCTCAGTGCTTTTTGAGTTGTGGTTTTTTAATGGAGAGAGATTTTCCGTGGGAAACCAGACTGTAAGGTCTCCCTCTGTCATCAGTCTAAGCATTCTTCTATGAAGAAACTTCTATATTGGAGGATTTTTCTGGAAATGCTGGAAGACAATTTTGGGTTTATGTGGTCCTTTCTTTATAAGGTTGTGATAATTAATCCTTCCTCTTTTTTCATGGCCTTTTTTAGAAGGAATTATAAGATCTGTTAACATATCATATAGTTGTCCTGAATGTTAAGATACTTAAGTTTTATGACTGTTAATCAAAATGTCTTTATGTTGGAGGGATATACACAAATTAGAAAAAAAACCAACAACGTAAAACAACCAAAAAACCCGCTTTGTTTATTTTTGGCAAACTTAATTCAGAGACAACTGTTGCAAGGCTTTTGTATGAAATAATTATTTGGCAACACTTTACTTAGAAGCCAGGTCTTGGGTTGGGATCCCTAGCAATTTGTGGGAAGCAGCAGAGAGAATAAATGCTCTCATTTGAGGGCAATTCTTTTAGGGTATATTGGTTCTCCATCTTTTTACTTTTTTAAAATTGTTTTTCTTACCTCCCCCAGCCTCCATGAGCCACAGGAAGTTCAAATTCTGGTGGGGTTCAAGAGGTTAGACAGGTTAGAGACAGGTGTAACTTATTTTTTGCTGGCCAGTTGACTGATCAAACAGAGCTTGCACTTCTTTTCACTCCAGAATAAAAAAATATAGTCCAGGTCTTAGTTGAGGCATGTAAGTGAGTTACTGTGCTGTTTGTTCCCCATAGACCTCTTGTGAGAATTAACAGCAATCTTCTACTTCAGTCTTCATGAGCATATGAGGAGGAACAAAATCCACAGTCTTTACTCTGAAGAGAGTAAGAGTTTTATCCTGACCTATATGGCATTTCCAGTGACCTCAGAGTACAGCCTGACTATAATGTTTCTAGTTAAGTAATAAAAGAGACTCCTCCTTCCATCATTTTCCACAGGTCATTGAAAAGACATTGATAACAGGTTTGCGCTTTAAAGAACAACAAGCAGCTGTTGTTATGGTTATCTACTGAATGGATATGGCCTTCCAGTCTGCAAAAATTTTAATGGTGTCATGTTTGATTAGGGAAAAAGTAGTAGCTACATAATGCATGGACATTTTAAGGGTCATATTTTGACCGTTTTTGTCTGTTAATTATTTTTCCTTGTCTCTGTTTTAGGTTCAGTGGCACTGTAGGTCACGGATGGTTGCAGGAGCTAACTTCTACATTGTAGGGCGAGATCCAGCAGGGATGCCACACCCTGACACTGGGAAAGATCTGTATGAACCAACCCATGGTGCCAAAGTGTTGACAATGGCTCCAGGCCTCCGTGCACTGGAAATTGTACCCTTCAGAGTTGCAGCTTACAATAAGAAAAAGAAGTGCATGGATTATTATGACTCTGATCAGTAAGTTGTATTTTTGTTTTAAGACATTTTGAGCAATAGCCTTTTACCTCCCATTCACATTTAAAAAATGTTTGTAATTAAGTTAATATTGCTCAAAGATGGCCGGGTTTAGATGTGGTTTTAGATCATGAATGGAACTTCAGAAGCATTTGGGTGTGGTTTCATAGCACAACTGACCTGATCCAAATTTAGCTGCCACTGGAAGCTCCCCTGTTCCTTTCAGGTAACGAAGTTTCTTTAATTCTGCAACCTGTTCACAAAGAGTGCTACATGCACAGAAAAATATTCACTTTTATTATAATGGTAAGGTTAGCTTTCTGCTGATTTATCTTTCTAAATATGCTTCTCAAGTGTCAGATATGCATCAGATATGGAAGAGAAACTATGAGAGAGTTTATCAAGGAGAAGATAGTTGACAAGAGATGGTGAAAATTAGCTAATTGTTCTGTTTAACAAAAATGTAAAATTATGCTCAAGTTCTTTGTATGGCCCAGGGTTTTCAGCTGGAGGGTTTTTTTTTTTAAATCCAATTACAGGACAGGTAATTTCACCTTCTGCATGTTCCAATATTTTTCACTCCTTGATGAGTGTATGTGTTGGTGTGGTGCTGATGAGTGGGACTGGGAAGATAATGTAATTTTAGTTTAAACTTCTTTATTCAGCTGTTTGAATAAAACTCTACTTTTGTTTTACACCAAACTGCAGGTGAATTTAGTACTGAAATATCATATGTAAAGCAAGACCTTTTTTCTAAAAAAACCCTTGCATTTTTTATAGTCTGACTGTTTCCTACTGCTTCTAGCTGGGAAAAGTCTGTACAACTCACTATGGGATGGATTAATCTGTAAAAATGAACCCAGCCCTTATCTCTTGTTCAGCTGCTTGTGCCAATGAACCAGCAAGTTTTATTCAGTGGCTTGTGTCTTTCTTACCATTAATTATATTTATTAGCAGATAGTGTACTCACTTGACATTGATTTTAAGTTATGCAACTGCTTTGTCTTTAAGCAGTAAATTCCCAGCACCTGAATTAGTCTGCTTTTATTTTTAAAAGCTGCTAAGTGTTATTGTCTCTTACATAACTAAATATAATTTTACAGTATGTTCTGTTGTTTGGAAATCATAAGCAGCATGATAAAAGGCATATCTGTTGAAACCTGACAAGAATTAAGAATAGTTTCTCTATGTATTACTCTACAATGTCTGTATGTGTTACAGAAATTTGGTGATTGGCTACAATGCAGATATTTTAAAATTGAAGCTAATCAGGGAGGGTTATTTACCAGTTGTAGTTTGCTGGTGATGTTCTTCCTTCCTCCTGCCTCCCAAATAGGCACCATTCCAGTGTAAGGTTCTACTCTGTGCTGTGAAGCTTCTCTGTGGATGGCATTGCAGCAGGATTATTTTTTTTTCATGTGAAACTGTGGAAAGTAGCATCAGATCAGGCCACTGCTCTGATACATGTGTTTATTTCATTAGGAGGAAAAAAACCAGAAGGTTACTTCTGGCATCTATGACATGAAAGTCTTTTCTAAAGTCATGTCCTTTTATCTAGCTCTTGAACGCTTCACTACCTTTGTGCCTTTCATTATTTGAGATGCATCTAGAAGTCCGTATTGCTGTGCACAGTAACTAGATTGTGACGTAAATACTGCTAGTTTTATTCAAACCTGTATATGCTGTAACTTAAGGCTCTAAAGGCTGTTGCAGTAGATACTGTGCTTATTTGTCCTGTTTGTTGTCCAAGTAATTCAGCAAGTTTTAGAGATTAAAGTAAAAGAGATGCACTGAAGTATCACTTAAAGAAGTTGGAATAGAAGGGGAGTAGCAATTGGTATTTGCATTGCATGGAACAGAGAAATTCTTCTTTGTAGAAGAATATTGATTCTGTAATAATATTCTTAGCAGGATAGAATTGGTTCAGATCAAGGGGTACCTATCAGTTGTACCTTTGTCATTAGCCAGGGTAAATGATAAAAAAAATCTCTGTGGTAACAGGGTTTGCCTTTTGTCACAGACTGCATTATGCACACCATATTATCCTTTCGTCATGCCTGTGGGGACCCTTTGGTTTGAGGCATATTTTTGTTTGTTTCTGTTACTGTTTTGGAAAAAAGACCATCCTGCTATTAGTATGAGCCTTGCCCTGAAACTATCAGAGTGTAAGGCCATTTTTCCAGTCCTTCCCTAGATGCTGTTTGTAGAATACAGGGTGGACTGGAGTGTGGCAGCAATCCTCTAGATGGCAATGCGGACACATGCAGACTCCCTGAAGAGAGAGCCATTATTGTTTTTGCTCGCCATAGTTAGTAGGCTGCAGACAGAGTTTGGGTGGGTGCAGCTGGCTCTATTTCAAGATAGTCTGTGTAATGCTTTCTGTAAATCTCAGTTCTTTGAGGCTTGGAGACTTGGCAGCGAACTAGGAAATTCAAGAATTTACATCACTAATGGATGCACCAAAGGTTATGGCAAGTGGGTTTCCCTTCAGCTGAGCTATAGCTGAGCGGAGCTGCTCCAAGTAGTTATTCTCTGCCTGACTGGTCACCTTTTCTGTTCTTTCAGGGCTTCTAGAGTCCTCTATATAGGGAGGTGCTTGTGAGAAGTCATAATGGACACCGTCTGCTAGCTTGTGTGTCTGTCTAATTTGAAGGAGTTGGTCCCACACCTGGCTTGGCAGCAAAGACATGCAGGGATTATTGCAGCTGGGCTCTCTGCTGATTTAGTGAATTATCTTTCTGCTTCTGAAGGCAATCCCAAGCCATGGGGACGGTGGGGGATGAATCGTTGGCTAGTGGTAAGATGTTACCAAAAGCTTGATCCGGCTACCAGAAGGATGTCTGACAAATTGGGGCTGCAGCATTAGCAGTGGCAGGGAGTTGCTTTGCTTGTGACATGTCTAAACATTAATGCTCAGCTTTTATGAGAAAGATGTAATGCTGACAGCATTTCATGTGTGCCTGTGGGGCTAGGTTTTCACTTTGGTATTGGTCAGCTACATATTGTAAGATACTGGGCAACTATGTCATACCTTGCTGTGACTAAGCTGCTCATGACTTCATCGCAAGCCTGAGAAGCATCTAAAAGCCTACCATTGGTTGTCTCCAAATTAGTAGCAAAGGCCCTTACTTAGGTGTTCTGCCTGCGATTCAAAGAGGTCGTCATTCTTAAGGTCTTCAGCTCCCAGAAGTGTCCATGCAAGTGCTGTTTTGTGGAGTTGATACAGAAATTAAAATTATTTCTCTCCTCTGGTAGTGTCCTCCAGAATGCATGCTGCCCTTGGAGTGTCAGTAAACCTGGTGTCCCTGCTTGGGAACAGTCTGGAGAACATGACTGTTAACTCTGATTGTCAGGGCCTCTCACTGCTTGCTAACACTGGTGAGCTGCTGTGGTGCTAAGCTAGAGCTGAAGTCACTGGACAGTAGGTGTATCTCCATGTGCTCCTGTTTGTAAGGAAAGGCAGGGATATCCTGATTGCATTCAGGAATAAGCATGGAGCGCTGTGTTTGGGGAAATGAATGGAGTAAGGAAAGACTGATCTAAGAGCCTTAATAGTAGCTGTGCAGCAATTGTAGTTGCAAGCTTAACCTGTACAAATTGACTAAAATTACCCTTTAAAATATGACCACTGAACAACCAATGACTGGAATGTATATTTGTTTTTTTACCTCACGAAGCCACCACAATTTTAAATTTGTTGCTTTGGCATCTTTGAATTATGTTTAGCGCCTCATGGAACTGTGGCCTTAAAACATGTTTTTTTAAAAATGTGTCTAAGATTTAGGAAAGGGATTTGAGGAATGCATTTGCAGTGATGTATAGCAGCACATGTAGAGTTAACTTCATTATATTTTCCCTTTAGTCAAAATTAAGATAATAAAAAAATCCCTTTTTATTGTTGCTGAAGTGAGATAGCAAGTCTAATCTAAGTTTCTGTGGGAAGCTTAAGCATTTCCACTTGCACAGAATTCTGAAGAAGTAATACATATATATAAACTAGTATGAATATTGGTAGTCCTTTGCTTATCATACTTTTACCCATCTAGATTTAATAGAATTTTTGATAAATCATTGAGTATATCCAAACGTGTTAGAAAAGCTTATAGAAATAATTCTATTTATAATAGAGAAATTCCAAATGAATATTAGATCTGTGAACCACGATTAGGCTGAAGTGTAAAGAAAAAACAATCAAAGAACCAAGCAACCAGCAAAAAACACCACCACCCCCAAAAAATCCTTACCCAATGCTGAAATCCATTCAGGAAAAGTGTGTTTCTTCAGCCAAAAAGGCCTCTCAAACAGTTACCACAGACAAGTGTAATTTGGGATTGGTGGCTTAATAATAGTAGTTGTTTTGGTGAGCAGAGATTCCCAATGCTTTACAGATCAGTCCTATAAAATGTAGCCACAGACTGCTGCTGAGAAAAAAATCAATTAAGAAAGGAAATTAGTCTGGCAATTAAAAAAAGCCACAGCAGTGTCTGGAAAAAAAGGATTATTTTTTTTTAATTTTTTTTTTTTTTTTTTTTGTCCTGAAAGAAAGCAGATGACATTGTTTTGGCTAAAAGAAACCTGGAAGTAAGGTTACTGGAGCAGACTGTTCATGCTTTCTGCAAAATGTGAATGAAGAATGGGTATGTGCAAAGAGGGGAGATGTTAACTTTATCTAGTTTATTCACAAGACCCTTATATGGCTTTCATGACTGCTTTAATAATATCAAGTCATTCTTATGGGGCATCGGTTCCAACTGAGTACCTACTGTTCCCAAATTGGTTTGGTATGATACCTAATTTTTGTAAGTGATGGTAGGAGGCTGAGTTAAGCATATTTAATGGTCCTCCTCAATTAATCTATGTGATACACGGTTTCTTAATTAACATTAGTACATAATTTAGGACACATTGGAACACTACAGCAGCTTGGAAGACTTAAACCCTCTTGCCAGTGAGAAAGGAGTTTCATTCACCAAAGGTAAAGGATGTGCTTTGCATATGTTAAT